GCTGTAAGTAATACTTTAGGTGCACCTTGCCTTATACAGCAGCTAAGTTCCTGGAGAGTTACACAAAATTGAATTTTTGCTAAGTTGTTTTTATTCATTGGAACAGATAAGCAAATTCAATAGTGTCTTAGAAAGCCCAATTTTCATACATACCAGACTTCCATAAAGTGAAATAAGCCTCTGAAATCTATGCAGTGAATCTTCCACCAGGTTAGAGTACAATGTCGCCAAGTACCCTCTTTAACAACGTTGTTTCTTAAACCCAATTTCAGTTTTCAAGTTGGATTTCTCCTCCCTCCTGCTCCATGGTTCAGGGCTCTTTGTTTCTATACTATTTCCAGGGTTGTGCTGACTCCTCTTCCACCCGCATAAACCTTCTGGATCCTGCCCTTGGAAGGACCAGCCCTTCCCCTCTCCCCTCGTGAGCCTAAGGATTACAACGTAAGTACCACTGACTCTCTCCTGTTCTCTATGGTCCACTCTGGGAAGTAGTGATTTACTCCAAAAGCTCAGTGGCAGTAATTCAACAGGGTCCAACTTTGGAATCTCCAACTTAGAGGTACAGCTCCACTTCGTAAGCAGCCTTGTGAAATTAACCCAATAAGTAACTTCCTTCTGTAAAACAAGGTTAATCTTGGCGGGCTCTCTCTGGGGTATGCCATGCCTCTTCTCCCTCTAGAGGGTGCATTTTTACTGTTCTCTCCCCATCAGACCTGCAACCAGGGGAGCAATGGGCCGTGGCAGCTTGTCCTGGGCTAATCCCCCAAATCTGTCTCCAGGGCAGATTCTGTCTCCCTTTTCTCTGACTCCCAGTGAGCTAACAGCAGCCCTGCTGGGGCCTACTTCTTTCCTATAACGTTTCCAGGGAGCCAAAGCCGCCTACCTAGGCTCTCCCCTATTGGTTCTTCTGCCCTAAGCCCTTCATTTGTTTCACTACCCCCCAGCTTTAATAAACATCCTTCAAAGTAAAATAAAGGGGAGAGGGGTAATCTTTTGACACTTAAAAAATTGGAGAATTTCATGAAGGTACTCTCACCTCTGAATTTCTTTTCTATCCCTTAAAAGGTCAATTTCAACTTCATCTCAACAGGCATTGAGCACTTGCTATGTACCCAGAAGTGTTGGGCATTAAGAATAAAGACATCTTTAAAATAATTTTTAAAATAAAATAAACACAAGGAAAATACCACTCCCATCTTCTAGAAGCTTTTGGTCTCAACAGGAAAACAAGAATAACAACACAACTGAGGGACAATATATATGATGCATAATTAAGCATCAATATAAAGGAGATAAGAGGGTGGGTCCCTTCAGTTGGTTGAGCATCATCTGTGCACCAAAAAGTCATCGGTCTGATTCCCGATCAGGGCACATGCCCAGGCTGCAGGCTCGATCGTGGGTCAGTGTGTATGCAGGGGACAGTCCATCAGTGTTTCTCACATTGATGTTTCTCTCTCTTCCTCTCCCTTTCTTTCTCTAAAATCAATAAAAACCTATTTTTAAAAAATAAATACGTAATGAGACAAGGTAGGGCTCTGTTATCAACTAAACTGTCAGAAGCCTTTCCAAAAAGAACTATGAGCTCAGAAAAACTCTATTTGTGTTAAGTTGCAAGGAAAAAACACATGCTTTAAGACATACTCATACAGAGATAAGGCCATGTAACTATGGAAGCAGAGAACAGAACGGTATTGCCACCAGTCAATGAGCCAAGGGATTGGGGCAGACTCCGGAAGCAGGAAGAGGCAAAGAATGGATTCTCCCCTGGATCCCCTAAGAGCAACCAACCCTGCTGACATCTTAACTTTAGATCAGGGACACTGACTTTGGACTTTCAATGTCAGAATTGTAAGACAATAAATTTGTTTCCTAAGAAAATAATTAATAAGTAAATAATAGCCCATATACCAAAAAAGTTGGCTGCACTAAGGATTTTTAAAGCGTTACTTACATATGGCCTATAGCATTTCTACACCGTTTTTTATATCCTCTCCTATGGCTGCCAAACCTCTGCTCTTTCTGCTCCAGCTACACCAGTCTCTATCCCAGGACATTAAAGAGACAGTCAGTACCGTAGCTTTAGAAGATGCAACTGCCTAAGTACCCAGTTCCTCTACCTGAGCCCTCTTCTCTCAAACATCTGAATGGCCCATCCCCTCACTCCATTCAAAGGTCACCTAACAGAGGCCTTCCCTGACCATCTTCTTCTTTCTCTCTATCCCTTTACCTGCTTTCCATTTATTTTTAGCAACTTACCACCATCTAATAGTTGTTCACTTCTTTATTACCTGTCTCTTTTTATTAAAATATGCATTCCATGAGGGTAGGATCTTGTTTAGTTCACTACCATATCTCCTAGACTCTTAAACAAGGCCTAGCACATAGGAGTTGTTCAATAAACATTAGTTAAATGAATATTAAATATTTTACAATTATTCTCAGAATGATACAAGAACATCCTAGAGGTAGGTATAGGTCATCTAGGCTTAAATTTTATCTTTTCGTGGACATTATTTCTCCTTTACTCCCAATTACATCTCAAATTTCAACTTTCCCATAAAGCCTTCCTTAACCATTTCAGCAGGAATGATCATCTCCATCTTCTGGACCCAGTGGCACAAATCCTCTGCATACTTTGGCTCTAAATTATGAAATTATGAAATGCCTTTTGACATGCATCTATTGTGGTATCTCTACTCCTGTTCTGCTAAACTTAAAAAAAAAAAAAAAAATCACTTATTTAAACTTTTAAGCCATGTTGTCTCCCCATCTAAATTGTAAGCATCGAGTACCTTAAGATCAGGAAGCCTGACATATTGTTTAGAAGATAACTCAGAAATCATCCTGTATAAATACTTTACAACTAAGGAAACAGAGGCCCCCAAAGGATGGATTTTCCCAGAACCGTACAGCTAGCTGAAAGCAGGACACTACGTCAATGATGATATGAATACCTGTGTGACATGGTCTGTTGGAACTACAACAATGAAAATGCATACAGTGAAACATAAAACACCCACAAATACACAGAATGAGGAAAAAAAAGATTCTCTGTGGGATAGTTCTCAGTTGCCCATGTGTACCCAAAGGACCTAATCCACTCCTTCCTCTGCATAACCCAAAGTCCCTATGCACTGCTCCACTTTCAAATACTACTATCCTTAGCCAATTTGAAGGCAACCAGCAAATAATGGGCCCCAGGAGGGAAGGGAGGAGTCTCACTAGTATCTATGATTGACAGAAACAATAAATGAATGCAGACATACACAGATATATGCACACACCAAGCAGAACAGGCTCAACAGCACCAACATCCAGCCTCCCCTCCTGACCATCCACTATTAGCCCTCCCTCCCCCCTTCACCTAAAGTCTCCCCATATTCCACTACATTTTTTCCCCTGGCCTCAAGCTTTTACTTCTCACAATCCCTCAGCCTAACAGAGTTCTAATGGAGAACAAAAGCAGGCAAATAAAAGAATTTTAAAATAAACACCAAGAAGGTCGGGTTTGTTGTTTGTTTGTTTTTTTTACCCAAATCAACAGAAGTAACAGAGTGGCCTCAGCGAAGGAGACCCAGAAGCACACAGCAAACTTGCCAGGCTTACATGCAGCTCCATCTCCAACAGGAAGTCAGGCAGAGCCTTGAAAAGCAGGAGCAGAGCACAGGAAGTCTCTCAGCCCTGCAGAGATTTCCAAGAGCGGTGTAATGGAGAGAGCTAGGGAATAGGAATTATTATAAGACCACGCTTTCCCTTCTAGTTTTACCACCAGCTAACTGGGAGGCCTTAGGCAAGTCACCAGTCTTCCCTGGACTTTTGATTCCCCATCTATAAAACGAAGTAGTGAAATCATCTGAGGTCCTGAATCCACTCCACACAACAATACCTATTGCCTCTTCCCCACCAAAAAGTGCCCGTAAACTGTTCTGCATAAGAACCTTCCAAGTCTCCCCAGGTTAAGAACCCCTGGAAAAGATGTCTCTGGACCCTCCTAACATTCTATGGTTCTAAGAGAATTAGGCAGATGTCAAAACCATTGCTGGTATGTGAGCCCTCCACCTCCCTACCCCGAGGCCCACTTCACAGCAAGTATTTTCTGAACAGAGACCAAATCCTAAAACCGATGAAGGTTTCGTGGTCGATGGCCCCATCCCTGTATTCCCCATCCCTTGCCCAATCTGACCATTTTATCTTGGGAGTCCACGACTCAGAATCCAGTCTTTTAACAGCCCTCTCTACATGTCCCTTGATTATCCCAGAGCACTCAAGAGCTAGCCCATGCCCTCAGCCATCGGTGTAAGAAGATGCAACCGACAAAGTGCAAGAGGAGGGACAGGTCCTGGTCTCTCTGCAGAGCCCATTAGCAAAGCGCCACAAAGTTAATGTGACTGAGCGCCACGCTGTCCCCACAACACAGCCAAACTTCCCCGTGATTTAACCCACAACCGAAGCCACATCCCCTTTCGGGCTCTCGAGGAGTTCTCTCGCTTTCCACTCCGCTCCTTCGGACGCCACTCCCTCATCCCAGGGGGGTGGATCGGGGGCTGCCCAAACGGCACTCCTCCCCGGGAGGGCTCCCACCGCCGCCCCCTCGCCCTCCACTCCGTCCAGCGGCTCTCTGGGCAGCAGACTCAGGACCTCCCTGGCCGGCTTCCACCCCACCCCAAGCAAGTATAAGGAAAGGGCTGGAAGAAATGGAATCCATCCCAACCATGTTCGATTTCCCCAAAACACCTATCCACGCGTCGTGCCCGCTCATCCACTCAGGAACCAGGACCCTCGTGGCCACCCCGGGGACCTCCCGTCCCCTCCCTCGCGTCCACGCCGGAGAGCTCCCCTTTCAACCAGGCCCCAACCGGCCCCCTCCCACCTCCAAGCCCAGGATCCCGGGAGTCCTCCCCGCTCCACGCCGCGGGAGCCCGGGCCGCCGCCCCCCTCCGCTCCCTTCCCCTCCCCCCCGGGCCCCGCGCCGTAACGGGATGCCCGTCCCGCGCGCTCACCTGCATCCCGCCGCCGCCGCCGCCGCCGCCGTCGTCGTCGGCCGCCGCCTCCTCCGTGCGCGGCCGCTTGCTCAGGCCGGGCTCGGCTCCGTCTCCTCCCGCTCCGGGCGCCGGCAGCTCCAGCTCCGACTCCCGCTTCATCCCCCGGGCAGCGGCGCCGGGCCCGAGCTGAAGCGGCTGAAGCGGCTGAAGCTGCGGCTGGGCGCCTTCCGCCATCCGCCCGCGCCCCCCTCGCCTCTGGGAGCCGGGCGACCCGCGACAGGCCGCCTCCCTCCCCCTGGGCCTCGGCCCCCCGACAGTCGCGACAGGCGGCCGCGCGCCTGCCCCCGCCCCCGCGTGCGTGCGTGCGTGCGCGCGCGCGCGGGCCCGGCGCCCCTCGGCCACGGGCTCCGGGCGCTGGGCGCTCGCGGGGTCCTCGGCTCGGGGCGGCGGGCGGGCGGGCCGCGGCGGGCACGCACTCGTTCGCGCCCTCACTCACGCGCGCACAACACACGCGCGCGGGACCCTCGGCCTGGTCTGCCGGGCGCCCCGCCTCCCGCACTCACGGAGCTCGCCTGCCGGCCCGCGCCGCCCGCTCCCTCTCACTGTCCCTCACAACACGCCGGCCCGGGGAGGAAGGAGGCGGTCCGGGCTCCCGAGGTGCGGGGAGGGGTGTCTGGTGGGGGGAGGAGTGGCTCGGAGCAGGGACGAGCTGACTGGCCGGGATCCTCCGGCCCGCCACTGTGGCAGCGCCGGGAAGGCGGGGAGAGAGAAAGAAGGAGGGGAGGGGAGGAGGGATCGGATCTGGGAGACTCCCTCCGGCCCGCGCGGAAGGCGGCGGCGGGGGTGGGGCGGCGGGGGCGGGGCCGGGTGGCGGCCGAGCCTGCGAAGGGGGCGGGGCCAACGCCCCTCGGCAATCTCCGCCTCCTCCTCCCCAGGAGCCCGAGGGAGGCCGGGAAGAGGTCGGAAAAGTTCGGGAATCTCCGGCGTTGGTCGGCGAGGGATCGTCGTCCGGGAGGAACTGCGCGGCTAGAATTCCAGCCGGCATGGAGGGGGCGGGGTCTGCTTCCTTTCGGGGCGGGGCCACAGCCTGAGGGAGGCGGGGCTTGAGAGGCCCAAGGGCCGGATTGGTTCCAGGAGAGGGAAGGGCACTGTGGGCGGGGGCACTTGGCCTGCACCCTGTCGGGCGAAAAATGGGTATTGACCTACTATTGGAAGATCCAGGAATGTAGTCACCACTTCAAGGTTCTCCCCAGTGCTGAAAGTTTTTACTCTAATCATCATAATAGTTACTATTATCACATTCCTGATCATCTTTAGTAACACCTGAGGTTTGTAAAGGGCTTTACAGTTTGCACAAGGCGTTCACAGACCCGTTCTTGAAGCCTGCTTCAGTCCTGCAGCTAAAAAAAAAAATGGCAGATCCAGATCTCATTCTCTTTCTCTACACCTTGCTGCTTGTGTAATACTTTATTTCTGATCAATACTTTATTAGAGGTAATTGTGCAATCCCTTCTCTCTCCTAAGAGACTGTAAGGACCAAGAGGGCATCTATTTTCTCTGGGTTCCATATCTTGGCCTGTATGTTATAGAGATAAAATGAAGTTATATGATGACCTGGATTCTATTATACTTCAAACAAGTTACTTCATCTCTTTGGGCCCTTGATACATCATTTGTACAGTGAGATGGTTTAGGTCAGTGCTTTGCAACCAGGAGCGATTTTGCCCCTTTCTTCTCTCCCAGGATACTTGTCAACATCTGGAGACATTTTTTGATGTTACAACAGCAAGGTTGCTTCTGGCATCTAATGGGGGAGATGTTGTTCACAATCCTGTGATGAACAGGACAGTCCTTACAACAGTTGTCCAGCCAAAAATATAAATACTGCTGAGGTTAAGAAACCCTGGATTTTTTTACTAGAAGCCCAGTGCACAAAATTCACGCACGGGGAAGGGGGGTGTTCCTCAGCTCAGCCTGTACCCTCTCCAATCTGGGACATCCCTCTCACAATCCAAGACTGCTGGCTCCCAACTGCTTGCCTACCTGCCTTCCTGATTGCCCATAACCGTTTCTGCCCGCCAGCCTGATCACCCCCTAAACACTCCCCTGCCAGCCTGATTGATGCCTAACTGCTCCCCTGACAGTCTGTTTGTCCCTAACTGCCCTCCCCTGCAGGCCTGGTCACCCTTATTTGTCCTCCCCTGCAGGCCTGGTCGCACCCAACTTCTCTCCTCTGTCAGCATGGTTACCCCTAACTGCCCTCCCCTGCAGGCTTAATCGCCCCCAACTGCCCTCCCCTGCTGGCTTAATCACCCCAAACTGCCCTCCCCTGCTGGCCATTTTGTGGTGGCCATCTTGTGTCCACAAGGGGGCAGGATCTTTGACCACATGAGGGCATCCATCTTGTGTATTGGAGTGATAGTCAATCGGCATATTACTCTTTTATTAGATAGGATAGAGGCCTGGTGCATGGGTAGGGGCCAGCTGGTTTGCCCTGAAGGGTGTCCAAATCAGGGTGGAGTTCCCTTGGGGTGTGGGCGGCCTAGGCAAGGGGCCTGTGGTGGTTTGCAGGGCAGCTTTGCCCCACCCACGTGCCCCTCCTCCCCCCAGCCACCCCAGCAGAGGTGCTGGTATCTGTGGCTTATTTATCTTCTACAATTTAAACTTTGTAGCCTGGAGCAGAGCCAAGCCTTCTGCTTGCTCCGTGGCAGCAGCCATTTCTGTTGGGACTTACATATCTTCTATAATTGAAACTTTGTAGCCTTAAGCAGAGGCCTGGGCTGGCCAGAGTGTGCAAAAGCTTGGCTTCCTCTGTTGCGGGGAGGGCAACCCTAGCCTCCTGTTCTTTCCGGTCAAGGACACATGCCCAGGTCTCAGGCTCTATCCCCAGTAGGGGGCATGCAGGAGGCAGCTGATCACTGATTCGCTCTTGTCTTTGGTGTTTCTATCTCTCCCTCTCCCTTCCTCTTTGAAACCAATAAAAATCTACTTAAAAAAAAAAAATTTTCTGGCGGAGACCGGTTTGGCTCAATGGATAGAGCGTCGGCTTGGGGACTGAAGGGTCCCGGGTTCAATTCTGGTCAAGGGCATGTACCTTGGTTGCGGGCACATCCCCCCAGTAGGGGGTGTGCAAGAAGCAGCTGATCGATGACTCTCTCTCATCGATGTTTTTAACTCTCTATCTCTCCCCTTCCTCTCTGTACAAAATCAATAAAATATATATATATTTTTTTAATTTTCTATATAGAAGGAGTTTAGGGCCTGCTGACTGATTAGAAGGGAGAACTGACTGAAGGTCTTGTCTTGAAGGCTAGTTTTCATAGAAAGCACATATTTTTTACCTGGGCTGTATTATATCTACTATATATACACTGGTAAAAGGCTAATATGCAAAGTGTCCCTTCAGGAGTTCAACTGGGAGACCAGGAGTTCAATGGCTCGCTATGACAGGCACTGACCACCAGGGAGCGGCGCAGAATGAAGGAAGGCCCTGGCCGGCAGCTGACACCTTGGGAAGGAAGGCCCCAGCAGGCAGCTGGAAGGCCCCAATCGACCCTGATCTCTAGCCAGGCCTAGGGACCCTACCCATGCACGAATTTTGTGCTCCGGGCCTCTAGTAGATCAATAAAAATAGCCAAATTTTATAAAAATTTGCCACTTATAAGTCATAATGTCTTGTGAAAACTACTTAGCCTCTCTATGCCTGTTTCTTCATTTGAAAATAGTATAGTGTAATTATAGTACCTTCCTGAAGGGATTATTGTGAGGATCCAATATGAGTTATTACAATGAGTTAAGAACTTTGAAGATATTGACCTATGGTTACACACTCGATAAATGTTAGCTATTATTACTATTATCATTATCATTGTATTCACATTTGAATTAAGAAGGAGAAAAATGTTCATTGTCAAGATCAAAGAATAACATTGTCACTACTGTTGAATTTTTTTTTAATTATATAAGGTAGAGATTAAGATGGGCAGACAGTCGAAACCAGTTTGGCTCAGTGGATAGAGCGTTGGCCTGCAGACTGAAGGGTCCCGGGTTCAATTCCATTCAAGGACATGTGCCTTAGTTGTAGGCACATCCCCGGTGGGGGGTGTGCAAGAGGCAGCTGATCAATGATTCTCTCTCATCGATGTTTCTAGCTCTCTATCCCTCTCTCTTCCTCTGTAAAAAAAAAAAATCAATAAAATATACTTAAAAAATAAAAACAAACAAAGATGGACAGACAAAGTTCCCCAAATCACCCTTTGATGCAACCATTATGTTGGGCAAGTCCTATATTTCCATTTAGCTTTACATTCCTTGTTTGTAAGATAACAATAGTAACAGTGTTGTTCTAAAAGTTAAATGAGACAAAATAAAACACTTAGCCTAGCACCTAACATATAGCAACTGCTGATTAAGTAATTATTTTCCATCTAATACCACTATTCGGGTCATCAAGTTGGAAGTCCAAGTACCTGCAAACTTGTCTCAAGCTGAATTAGACAGTCTCAAGCTAAGTCAGGGGTCTCCAGTTAGCAGTACCCCATAGCAGACAGGCTTAATCTGTGCAACCAAGCACAAGCATTATGGCTTTGAAGAAAATCAGATGTTTCCTGTGTGGCCTATAGAACAACAATGGGTGTGAGTGTGTGTGTGTGTGTGTGTGTGTGTGTGTGTGTGTGTCTTTTAACATAGGGAAATCAGTGGTTGATTTTCTGAAAATTTTACTAGACTGGTATCTTCTTCCCTCTCTACCTGCCTTGTCATAATACTGGAAACTAAATGATGCTAGGTCCTTTCTGGGCTGCTCCATGACCAAGCAAGAAATAAGATTTGGGATCAGGCCTGCTTATGGCTCAACTTATTGTTATTCAAGTATTTCCCTTAGAAATAGAGCAGTAAGGTTTGAATGACCAGGCAGAACAAAGAGAAACTGGATCCTGCCCTTTAAACAAACATTAAGCATTTAGGGAGAGGGAAGGGAGGAGGAAAGGGAAAGGGAGAGAGAGAGAGAGAGAGAGAGAGAGAGAGAGAGAGAGAGAGAGAGAGAGGAGAGGAGAGGGCAGTGGAGGAGAAGGGAGGGAGGGAGAAGGGAGGGGAGAGGTAAAAGGAGAAGTGAGGGGAGGGAGGATGGAGAGAGAGAGAGGGAGAGAGGGGGAGAGAGGGGGAGAGAGGGGGAGAGAGGGGGAGAGAGGGGGGAGGAGGAGAGAGAGAGAGAGAGAGAGAGAGAGAGAGAGAGA